GAATAATGTTTCCCACCCCATGCATGAAGCTGTTGTAAAACTGGAGAGCTCCTTCAGTGACAGACTGCTGCCCCCTAAATGCACCAGGGAGCACTATCACAGATCCTTCCTCGCAGCAGCTGTAAGACTGTATAACCACCTCTACTTAGTTACTAAGTTGCTACATTAAATAACATCACTTACATTTTGCACACCTCTGATGTGGCTGCTATTTTCAAATAGCCATTATTGTGAAAAAGTCCTTAGCTGTATATCAGTTATTTATCCTCCAGGTGCATATTGTTAAAACACTTTATAGTACTGTATCTTATTTTTTATTTTTTTTACCTCTTCACTATTATATTATTCTTATACACTTTTCTAAGGTCCACATTTGTGTCAACCTTTTCTTCTATAATCTTTTTGCTGCTGTAAACACCAGAATTTCCCCATTGTGGGACAATAAAAGGATTTTGTATTCTATTCTATTCTATTCTATTCTATTCTATTCTATTCTATTCTATTCTATTCTATTCTATTCTATTCTAAGATTAATTGATTTGCAAAATAATCCTTAGTTGCAACCCTAATGGATTTCATTGTAAATGCTGGTATAGTAAATATAGTACCTGCAATAACCTAAATAGTGCAAATAAGTAATGAGTCAGAAACATACCCTTTGTGAGAGTGTTTTGTCCTTATCCTGATCTGGTCCTGGGAGACCATTTTTCATTTGGCTCACAGCCTTCGTGGTCTTGTTACATTTCTTTGAGCTGTAATCAGAGACAATAATGTCATCCAGCATTCATGAATCGCAGGAGTATAAAGAACAGGGCCTACCTGCTAAATGAGCCGTTGTTCTCCGTATTCTTTACTCGTATCTTCTCCTTGGAAACGACGCGCTTCAGTGTAGTGGAAGCCGTGCGCTCCTGCATGATGGGGCCCATGTTGCACCACATGGGACGCTGCGTTTGGAGTCCAGCACGGATCTAATCTTACACCGTGGCTAAAGAAGCCAGCCGACATCTCTAATCAGACAGCCTGGTCTGAGAATAAGGCTAAAATCACCCATTTTCGCCGAGGTGCTGCAATGCATCATGCGAAGACACCAGCCTCTCCTCGTCTGCCGCAGGTTTAAGACACGAACTACAGCTTTGGTGTTCCACTTAAAGTCGCAGATCAATCCTGCTTTTTTACTTTTGATGAACCAGTGTCAAGAAAAAATCATATCAATTTCTGTGGTCAACATTTTCATTGTTAAAAACGCAACAAGGCATAGGAGCGCAGACGCTTTCTCTCTCTGTCAGATTGGTTTGTTTACCTGCTGCTGACTGGCTCGCTGCCTTTAGCGAAGAGAGCCGCCGCAAAGCATCATGGGACTTGAAGTATTAGCTTCAGTTATCGCGATTTAAATCAATCAAAAACGCCGTTTAAGGTATTTTTAGTTATCATATTGGATCAGTTGATGTGTGACGGTGCTTTCATAGTCAAAAACACGGATATAGGATGAGAAAAATAAGCAAAATACGTAATATACATCCTTAAAGTACTCAATCACCCAGTCAACATCACTGGGTCTGTTTCTTTATAGTCTCCCGGCGGATAATCCGGCTGAAATTAAACACGAGGCGGCCTGATTAGTGTTTCCTCTAATTATTTTTATTATTTCATGACCGATTATCCACTGACAACGTAAATTTGCAGCAATAAATCATATATATTAACATTTTGACACCCAAGTAAGGATTAGTACAGATCTTAGTAGAGATCCTTGCATCCATAACGAACAAATAAGCTTTAACAGATTACTTCCTACCTGCTGTCACAAACTCAATAACTGTTTATAACCATGCTGATTTTGCATAGTTTATATTAGTGTAACTAGTTTGTTGGTGTTTTTTATTTTTATTTAACATGATTTGCATACAGTTTAAGAATAAAAAACCAAAAGCTTTCATAATAATATAACAATACTTTGTTTAGACAGCCAGCTCGGAAACTGAAACATAAAAGAAACAGAGAGAATATTAAAACATTTATAGAAAAAGAAAAATAATCATCCTAAGAGAAATCCTCTCAAATTGGATAATACCCTTTCCATCCCCCCTGAGAATGAAACAACAACCATAAAGATATTTAAAATTTGTAGGAGAGATAAAGATCATCTGAAGAAAATATGTACATGGAAATATAGCAAATAATATGCATTTACACACAGTGCAGGTTGTGCTACAACAGTCAATGAAATGGCTGGTGGTCTATTTGATTATGAGCAGGGCTGCTTATGTGTTTAAATTATATTTTTGTATTGGTCTGTGGAGTTTGTACCTCTTTAAAGAGTTTTTGAAGATTTTTTATCATTTAAAATACAATTTTTATGTTATCAATTTGCCCTTACTTCACATTCTTTTTTGTTGTTGTTTTGTTTTTGTTCACATTGCTTTTTCTTGCGTGTACTTGCAACATCCAATTTGCATTTGGCTCTGCAGCTAGTAAACTACACAGGAATTACATTGCTTTTGGAAAATATAGGATATTTTCATTCTATTCTTTTCACCCTCCATCCATTGTTCTCCCGCTTGTTCCGGTGGTTCCGGGGTCACAATGGGGCTGGTTCCTCTCTCTGGCAGTCTGGATGAGGGGCCGGGTACACCCTGGACAGGTTGCCAGTCTGTTACAACACAGTGACACACAAGGACATAACACCATGCATGCACTCACTCAAACCTAAGGACAATTCAGAGATGCCAATTAACCTACAGTAAGTGCCATGTTAATGAACTTAATGCACTTAAATTAAGTGCATTTTTTCTTGAATTGAGGAGGTAAGTGGGACACTTTGCCAATGGAACAAGGGAATTTACAATTAAAATAAGAAAAAAAAACAATTGCTTTGTCTTATTTCAAGTGCATATTACCTAATTATCTTATTTTAGTGGTAAAAAATACTTATTCCATTGGCAAATCATCTTATTCACCCGCTCAAATTAAGGGTAAATACAATTGATTTAAGAATTCTTTAACCTATTTCTAGATGTTTTTTTGCAGTGCAATCTCAGTTATGGGGAAGGCAATGAATATCTATAAATAACAGATTGGAGATAACTTATAAATAGGTCAATATATCAATCTATCCTAAACATAATTGTATATGCATATATGCAAATAATTGTATAATTGCAAAGCTAGTTTTTTCAGGTCCCATTTAATCCAATTAGACAATGTATTTACCCAAAAATAGCAGCTATAATAAACCCAACAGTGTAAGAACAGGGGTTCCTCTGTCTTGTTTAATGTCTTAAAACACAGAAAACCGTGTAAATATTAATATAAAAAAAAACAAAAGGCTATTTCCAACTACCAACAAAGCTCATCGAGTTACTGTCGGCTCTCTCGGATGCATTTTGATGCGCCGTTTTAAAACTTTGCTCTAGTGACGCCCACCTGCACCATTTTCCGCGCCGGTTGATAAATGGTGCGCACCCTGTGAATGTGCGCACTGTACGCTTCCTGTTCACTGTGCGTACGTTAGCTGATTTTTAACGAGTTTACGTCGGTTTCATTAAAGCTACTGGTGTTTATAGTGAGTTACTGGGTTTATGACTGAAAGCATTCTTGTAAATATTATGATTGAGAGCAACCTGCAGCACTTTTAGACAATATGGAGGACCAAACGTCAGCTACTGTCTTTCTACAGCCTGCATGCAACTGAGGCTTCATATGTTTGCAGAGAGAGGTAAGAAGCAGGTTTGTTTATTCGTGCATTGGATTGTGCACTTGTGCACGTAGTGGTAATAGACACGCCCACTCCTATTAAATGGCTGTAGAACAGCTTGCCAAAGTTTCATGGTTGTAAAGTAATGCTTCCTCTTGGGTATTTAGCCGCTTTTTAAAGAAAATAATGAAACTTGATAACAAATTTTGCTTTAAAACTTATTTTTATTTATATCTAGGCCTGCTCCTTGGTGAGAACAGCTCTCTGAGAAAATGGACAGAGGGTGGTTCGTTGGAAACGAGAGGATACTTTCCTCCGAATCTCAACAGCGATTGTCCAGCAGTGTCTCTACGCCCTGCTTGACTATAAACGTGAGCAAATTGCTCGAAGCTGACAAGCCCAGCGCCATGAGGAAGCCTGTCCCGATCCGCCCTCCAGGCCCCAGAGTTACTCGCCCAAATGAACAGAAAAGCCACCCCTTCCTCACCTGCGAGCCCACCCCAAAGCCCATCATCCGACAACGATCACGATCTCTGCCTTCTGCCTCCGAGAGCAAAAAGAAGCGAACCAGAGGGATTGGGGTGAGGTTCGTCGACTCTCTGGGACTCGACCTGGAAGATGTTAGGGTTTTCAAGTCTGGTGAGGACCCGTTTGTGCCTGAGCATGTTACCTTTAGACTCCTAATGGGTGCTGAGATGACAGATGGAAGGCATCTGGAGATCAACTTGCCGTACCTAAAGCCAGTTTTTTCCCAACAACCTGGTGACCAGCCAGGGTTTCTGCAGCGTCTTCAGGAGCAGAAAGTGTGCCTAGAGAGGGTGTTGTGTTTTGAGCTGGGTATTATTGGAATCACGCAAGTCCTGAATTTAGAGTTTGGAAAAGAAGTTACAGTTCGGTATTCATTTACAGAGTGGAGAAACTCTGCAGAAACTAAGGCTTCCTGGGTATCCACTGTCACCAAGACCTGGGATGAAGGAGAAAGAGGAAAAGAAATGAGTTGTGATACATTTCGTTTCCACCTGCCTGTTCCTCCATCCCTTCGACCAGGAGCGCAATTGGAGTTCGCTATTCAATACAGAGTCTGCGGTGCTGAATATTGGGATAACAATAACGGAAAGAATTATAAATTAGTCTGCCAAAACTACAAATTAACTGTGCCTAAAGAATGTGAAGACAGCATGGTGCATTTCATTTAGAATAGGACTACATGGAAAATGTATTTTGAGCACTTAGTGTCTACTGGTTTTAAGACATAGTTCTGCTTGAAAGTTTACAAACCCTCCCATTAAAGAACATTATAAATTCACAATTCCTTTGTAATCCAAATAACTCAAAACTAAAAAAGGTAATAATTGAAAAAAATTAACTAAATATGAATTTAGTATTGGAAAATATTAACAAAAACAAATGATTCTAAAAAAAAAACTATCTCAGGCAAAAAAACGAAAACAAAAAAAAAAACAGGGAGCCGACATACCTGTCAACAGGTGCAGAAATCTGACTGAACATTTCCTAAACATTTTACATAAAAACTCATTTTAGTGATTGCCTCAAATTGTTGCTCAACAAAATGTATGTGTATATATATCTATCTATATATATAGATAGATAGATATAGATATGTGTGTGTTTAATGTACAGTATTTTACTGCCAGATCTTTTTTTTTCTGTCTTTATTGGAAGAGTATGTAAACTTTCAAGCAAAACTGTATATGAGGAATAACAACAGATTAGATTTTCTTGATTTAAGCACTAATATAATTATGATTATGTCCTGAATATCAAGCACTTTGATAGTGATTCAAGCACTAAAGCACACATTGCATATATACATATATCACTGATGAAATAAAATGATTTCATGTTGTACAGAGATGTTTTTAGTATATATTTGTAAGTAAATGTTCCAGAACATTTTATTGATTAAATCATTTAATTTTCTTTTCAGAGATCAACCAATCACTTTTTTTATTGTATACTTATTTCCCTTTAGTATGAGGTCTCACTATGATTTAGGTTTTTTTTTAATCTTATTATTATTTCTTGTTTCCTTGAGGATTTTAATTTGTGAGAAAATATGTTTTAGATATCTGTAGCAGTTATAAATTCAAATGAAAAAAAACAACTAAATTATCCCTGGCTTTGTTTTAAAGATTTTGTTCATAACTTTTATCTGATTAATATACATTGGTTGTTGGCCTATATCTGTGGACCTTTACTGTATATGTGAAAAAGAAAAACCCTGATATTTTTTTAGAATTTGAATTGATCAATGGACAATAATGTCAGATTCTGGACTTTGGATTATTGATTGTTGTATTTCAGAAAAATCCAATAGTATTACTGATATTCAATAATGAAATTTGCCAATTCTTGTTTTATGTAATTTCTTTTCTTATGAACGTTTGAGGAAATATGATCACTGTTACTTGTGGTGTAAAAAATGTTGAAATATTTCTGTTCTCAGCCTCACAGGCTCCAAAAGAAGGTTATGAGAGATAAGAATGAGTTACAGCTCATGGCATGAAGGGGAGGACTGTTGTTTTGAGGAGATCCATCCGGCCAGCGGAAGATATATTAACCTAACAGTGAACGGCCTTGATGGACTAAAGTTGTTTTTCCTCCAAATATTCAAATGTGAGAAAGTTCTTTATGCAGGGGGTGGGTTCATTCCCCTGGGGAGAGTGTGTGTGATTTTGTAAGGTATAAATGTATGTACTGAAATGCCTCAGTCAGAGCCTATCTCTCCGTCTGAGGACGTTAAATAAATTTGAACCTTATTTCTTGCAAGAAATGCCTCTGCCTCAGCTTCCTAATTTAAAATACTGTATAAGCTGATTCCAGTGTTCTGTTTTTTATCCTTTCTGCTTTTAACACTCAATTCCTTATTGCCTGGTAAAATAAAAATAAAAAATGAAGATGCAAATGCAAAAGTTGTTGGGTGGCATTTTATTGGAACATGAAAGCTGTTTTGTTTTGTTAAAACCAACTCAAACTTTTCTTAACACAGTTGATCACTGGAACAAAAAGATTGATTATCACATTCCATGTGCCAGCTCTACCACATTTAAAAATAAATACAGAAATAAATAAATGCTAAATAAAAAAATAAGCGTACAATTAATTGCCCCCCAAAATACAAAAAAACAAATTAATGTAGGTAGAAATTAAATTATACAGTGAGACATAAATGTATATATCTCTTAATTATCTTCTTCATTTATTCACCTTTGTAATAATTACCTTATTTATTTGCATGTTATTTTTTTGTCTGTTTTATTCTTCCTTTGTATTTTTGTTTACCTATTTATATACTATTTTATTATGCATTTCTGCCTCATTATGCAAATGACGAAGGGCTGTGTCTTAGAGGGTCAACTTCTGCCCATTGGCGGGTTAGAATTTTACTGCATCGGCCGAATGTACATGCCACCGGCCAGTCACAACAAAGATGGCTACCCTACGTTTAAGTTATCTGTGAGCTGAGGCATTGAGTAACTTTTTTTTTAAATCAATGCTAACGTTATAAGTTTTGACTTTATTATTTTTCGTTTGGACGCTCCAAAAGAACGAGTGTTTCAGTTAGCGGCACACATGGACACAGATGTCGACAATATAGTTTTTCAGGATCAGGAGGAAGCGGCCCCTCTTCTTAACGTAACTTGGCGAAGACGCTTGTCCGTACTCGCGTTGTTATGAATTGAGAAACGGCCAGTGACCTCAAAATCTCGTCTCTTGTAGATGCAACCGATGCAGTTAAATGCTAACCAACCAATGGGCAGAAGTTAAGACGGAGGTCTTCAACAGGGGGTCTGCGACCCTTAGAGGGTCCACGGAAGTACTGCATGGGGGTCCAAAAGTTTAGGTTGATTAGACTTTTTTTTAATATTCCACCCTTCAGTTTTTTCCACTAATTGTAATGTCGTTAAATACACATTACCATGAATTCAATACACTGTAGTAAACTGATAAATGGAGGCAAAGGATGTCTTCCAGTCATCAATGCACACATTCAGCGACACACACAGGAGCTCTTTCAAGCTGGGCACCATTTCATTCAAAACACCTGTCCCATCAACCAGTAGTCAGAATCAGAAATTCTTTAATAATCCCAGGGCCAAATTACTTTCCTTACATGACTCCATGTGTAATAGAGTGACTATAGGACCAGCTTGATATAAAACAATTTCATACAATATTAGGAGGTCCCCGCTCCATCTCGCCAACAGTTTGGAGGTCCTTGGCCTGGAAAACTTTGAAGACCACTGCTCCAAGACGCAGCCCCTCCTCATTTGCATATGAGGCAGAAATGCATATAGAAATGTAAAAATGACTGGCAATAAATAGCAATGAAGTAATAAATGAAGTAATAAATAGGGTAAAAAAAGAAGAAGAAAACAGACAAAAATTTGATTAAATGCACATAAATAAGTATTTAATAAATAAAGTTGAATATTATCATGGACAATAAATAAATTTTGGGGGGGGGCAATTAATTGTATCCTTATTTATTTATTGAGCATTTATTTATTTATGTATTTATTTTTAAATATGGTAGAGCTGGTCCTCCGTGTTCATTAACTAGAACAAAAAACTTAATTCATATTATATTTTTATGACATTATTTGGTCATTTAAAAATACCACCTGAAAAATAAAAAAATGATCTTTAAAAACGATCAGTCAGTCAAGTTAGTAAAGGCAATGATTAGTATGTGCTCTTATTTGGAATGTGCCCCTTCCAATATGGCGAACGCGTTAACTGAACGAATTTCTGCCTGATTAAAAAGTATAATTAGCCCAAAAATAGATAAATAAATAAATAAAGCTTAATTTTCTTGGGGTCTGTATAGGGTACCCTGACAAATATTCAAACATTCATTTCATATTTCTATGACAATAACGATATCGTCGGGTAAACAGTTTGTTGCTCTTCCTGTCGAGTTCTTTTTTCCGAGGGGTTACTAAAATAGGTTTAGCATCTATAAACCTGTCACGCGCTCGCTACTTTCGCGGTTTCGCGGTTCGACATTGAGCCGTTAGTTCCAGAAGTAACCGCCAGAAATACTTTTTTATTTTATTTTATAAGGATTTCCTAGATACGGTAAGTAGCTAATAACGACGTAATGTGTATTTTTTCAACATATTTTGGTCGCTCAAAACGTAACTTAAATAAATTAGAAATAAATTATAATTGCTAGCCAAAACGGAAGGTGGATTAACTGTTGTTTTCGGCTAATAATGAGCTTCCAACGCAGGCATTGACAGATGAGTTCATGAGATAGCATTTTTTTTTGGACTGATTATTTCCAATAATGTGTAATAAACACATTATAATAAATATAAGTTAACCGATTAGTGTTCGGTAATACCATTAGCGGGCTGTGAACGGTCCAGTCATTTACAGATGGACTACAACTACAAAATAAACTTTTTACTTTCTAAATTGAGTGGAAAAATATCGTGTAAAATTGCAATACATTTGCAAGTAATTCTAGAATGTTAAAGTTACTTAACAGAGTCAAATATGTTAAGATTTTATTTTTTATTTTTGTGTCTTTATATGTTAATGGTTTATATGTTAAAAAAAAAAACCTCAAAATCAAGAATCAAAATACATTAGACCAACATTTAAAAAGTAAGTGTCAGACTTCTAAAACTTATGACCTTTCCATGCACACCACACTTGGTTGGGCTGCATCAATGCACTGTGGCATAGAGATAAGCAGCCTGTGGCATTAAGTAGGTCTATTTGAACTGAAAGCCTAGATTGCTTTGGAGTCTCACTTGTTTGGTCTGACCTCCCTCATCTCCATCTTGGAAACACCCTGTAGATTTTCTATGGGCTTCAGGACATTTTCTGGTCAATGGAGAACAGGAAGCTCATTGAAGCAGCTCCTAGTACCCTTGGGAGTGTGGGTGGCTGCCAAGCCCTGCTGGAACATAAAAATCAATGTGTTGGTCTAGTGGTTAGAGCAGTAGCTTGTGCTCTGAGAAGGTTGCAAGTACCCGGTTCGATCCATACTCCAGTTGATTTAGTTTTTGATTTCTGTTTACAGTAAAATTAGAGCTATCAATCAGATGATACAATCTCGTTTTTATCCTATTTTTATTGCATTCACTTTTGTTTATTAACCTTTAAAATAGTGACAACCATGATAACAAAATCATATGATTTATTATAAGTCTAAGTGAACTGCAGCTGTGGATGGAGCTGCTGATATCGGTTTTCCTAAATTGAATTAAAGGCACAAAATTAGATGCAGTAACTCCTTTTTAACTGTAGGAGGAAGTGTTAGATGCAGGATTTTTACAAATGGGCATTAATTTGTCAATATAATACCTGTGACATGTAAACACAACACTATAAAACATCTAGTCCTTTAGGAAACTTTAAAACAATACAGATACAGTAACATGGAGGAAGCTTGATAAAGCTAAAAAATAGACAAACACTTGTACGTAGCAACTAGGGCTGCCCTTAGCACCTTTTTTAGTAATTGATCAATCTATTGATTACTTGATTAACTGAAAAAAATAATCTAAAAGGAGATACTTTTCTAAATGAACTAACATTTGGAATAAAGAAAATAATCCATTATTGCTTATTTTCAATGAAAGGCAAATGGTAAAACATGCACAAAAAAAATACATTCATAAACATAATTATATGTGTATGATATATAATATATCATTCACATATATTCATATATAAATATGTGAATAAATAAACTTAATCTTTAATAGAAATATGCATTCTATGTTTATATATTTTTTTTATTTTATCTGTAGGGTTTTGTTTTAATTACTGTTTTAATTTGGTTATTCTTTCAGCAAATGGCACGTTTTAGAGTCTGTGTGCCGTCAATTTCAATGTAGTCTATTTATATAGTGCCAAATCACAACACATTTAATCTCAAGGCATTCTACAGAGATGGTTTACTGAGATTGGTTAAAAGTTTATGTCAACGGAAACCAGTTTGTCTTTCTGTTTAATCATTTGATTAACAAATTAGTTAATAATTATTCAATTGTTTACGTTCTGGTATCAACCATGCAAGTGAAAATGCATAAAAAAATAGTAATATAAACTTTGACTCTATATTTACAGTTCTAACATTTGTAATTATATAAAATTTACACAACATTCAGCAGTCTAATGGCAGTGGGGAAGAAACTGAAACGCTCTCTATGGTGCTTCTGTAGAAGGTGGGGAGGATGGGTGGGGGCAGGTGGGCTCTCCTCATCCTCAGGGAGAAGTACATGCTGTGGGATGATGGTGTTGAAAGTATTTTTTAAAAATCGATGAACCGGCCGTTTATTTTTTCGATTAATTGATGAATCGGACAATAAATATTTTTAATATTAACCTATTTATTCCAAAACTAAGCATTTTAGACAGAACAGGCACACAAGTACAGGTTGCTCATTAACTGTACTGTTGCAATATAAAAAACAAATGTTTGTGTTAAAACTACACAAAATTACATGAGAAATGTAGCTATACATCCAAAAAATATAGGGTACTTTGTTTCATAAAGTGCAAAAAAGACAGGCATTTTTGTTTTTTAAAGCCCCTAAAGCAGGGGTGTCAAACTCATTTTCACTGAGGGCCACATCAGCGTAATGGCTGTCCTTAAAGGGCCAGATGTAACTTATAAATGTAACTACATGTAATTGAATGTAATGTAAAATAAATGTAACTTCTCCTTAATGTTAAATAACTCATTATTTATTATAATTTATTCAAGTTTCTATGCAATTACAGTTTCATGGAAAACATATGCTTGCTTGTTGCTCTAACATAAATCCTTTTAAATTTTGTCAGCTTATGAAAACCCACATAACTCCATTAATGAAAGATCAAACTGATATAACATAAAACTGAGCTGCAAAAAACATGTATGACACATGTAGCATTTTACAAAAAAAAGCTATGCACAGCTTTGCATCCAACTGATGGTTTGATGGATACACACATAAGACCTGCAAACATTAAATAATTACAACAACAGAATCATTTAAATTTTATTTACATAAATTGAATGATTCCCCCCCAAACATTTCCCGCAGACCATCTTTTCCCATTTATGACAAACGTAATATGTGCGTTTTTTTGTGCAGCGCTGAAGCTCCTGCCGCTGTTTTCTGTGCCTTGCCAAGGCTGCTCTACTGCGGGGGCTGGAAACCTGCGGTTTGTCTGCAACTTTTTTACCAGTTCAAGGATAAAATCTGCGTAAAAAAATATATATAATCAAACAGCTCCTGAACAGTACCAAAGTGTTTATAGCTGATATTTCCAGGAGATTATAAATTACAGCCACAGGTAGGGGTGGGTATTGCCAAAGAAGTCACGATTCGATTCAAATCACGATTCACAGGCCACAATGCGATTCTATCACGATGTATCACGATACTTGAATTATTGCGATGCAGTGCAATATTTTGTCCTCCATGTTTTGTTTTTTAATGACTCGGCGCAGTATCCCGCGGCCGGAAATGCTTGTGACACAAGGCAGCATGCGTCAACACATCCGCAGCGACATCTACTGGACTGGAAGTTGTATTACACTTGTTTTTGGCTGATGTTCGCCAACCATTCATGCAATTTTATTTATTCATTTTTTTTAAAATTAATAATCGATACTTGGCATCAAGAATCGATGCAGTAGAAAATTAGAATCACGATGCATCATCATGACAATTATTTTGCACACCCCTAGCCACAGGTCAACTTCGTGTCGGAGCTTTTACAGAATCCTTTCTAATCATCTGATCCAAAACATCCACCCGACCTGTGTGTGGTTATAGTAGACTACGGGCTCTGGTTTAGCTTTGGGTCGCTGAGTGGACCGGCTTAGGTGTGGGCAGTGCTTGAACAAAGTTTTACTTTTGTCTGATACATCTGCGTTTTCTCAGGGGTGAGTGATCATCCTCGGACTCGCTGTCAGAATCTGAGCCGCTCCCCCCCCAGTCCTCCTCATCAGTCTCTCCCCCTCCGCCCGAATCCTTATCATCGATATTTTGAAGCATTTCTAAAGCCTGTTTCGCTGTTAGGTTCATTCTGAACGCCTTTTTTTCCATATTAGCTAAAAAGTTCTAGGTAGAATGCCGGTAGCTACTCAACGGTACCGAAAGTCAATCAACCGCGGGAAGAATTTACAAAGCAACTAATAGAGCCGTCAAAAGGACGGTTGTGGGGGGTAGAATTAACCATATTTAGTTTTTACGTTTTAATTTTATTTAAAAAACTAAGTGAAGATGAAGGAAATATAGAAACAGGAAAAGTCAGTTAACATGAGCAACATAAATTTAATTTTAAATATAGTTCTTTCCCTTTAAAATCTCAGAACCGGGTAAAATGACGCCTGTGGGAGTTCTAGCGGGCCACATAAAATAAATGGCGGGCCACATCTGGCCCGTGGGCCTGGAGTTTGACACATGTGCCCTAAGGGGTTCAAACAAGAAGATAAATATATCCAAACATTGCAATGCAAAAAGGTTAGCATGTCAACATGCTCCTGACTAAGACTGGCACTTTTTTTGGAGGCTATGTTTCCTGCTGCAGAGAAAAGACGCTCAGAGGGTGTTGAAGTTCCGGGAGCATTCTTCTGTAATGAGAAGGACAGTACACTGTTGAATTACACCCCTGCAGCATGTCAGCAGAAAGCATAAAACCAGAATTAGCATTTCTAACGTTATTTAATATTTTGTTTAAATAATTAGAAATGTTTTGATTTATAAATATTTTTTCTCAAAGAATGAGTTCTGCAGTAGCAGGGCTCGATGTTAACCATCGCCTGATCTCCCGGGGCAAGTAGTTTTTATTGTTGGGAGAGTAAAAATTTCATTGCATTTGCCCGCCGGGCAAGTGCAATGATCGCAAAGAAAAAAAATATTTATCACTCAACATTACTTTAAAATTACAGACATTCGATGAAAACGACCAGAAGCGTTGCCGGCACCATTTTTGTTATTTTGTACACATTCTCGCGTGATTTGAAAAAGCTGCGTGATTTTCTGCCAGATGGCGTGATTTTTGTTCGGGAATTGGCGCGAATCAGACAAATTTTTTTCGACTTGGCAGGCTAAAAAACAACAAGGCAAAGAAATGTAAGTACAGTAACACACCCACCACCTATTTTTCCCTCCACCCATTTCACCCACCACCTAGATAACCCTAGATTAAAAATTATCGGTCAGGGATTAGGAAAACTGGCATAATTGTATGCCATGCGCACAGTGTAAATATGGCTATCATATGGCAGTCTTCTGTACAGTGATGCAGGTCATACATTAAAAAATGTTCATTCAATTTTTTTCTCTCAGACATTGGAGAGGTGCATTTAAATGTTATAGAGCTAAACATGTTCAATTGGTGACCTGTTATGTTATTGTCAGAGAAAACTAATCCTGAGTCAGTTAAAAGTCAGGGAATTCTGAAATTATGTAAGACTGTGGAAACCCTGTATAAAATAACTATGTATAATAATTCTCTAAAAAGGTCACATTATATTAATAGTATTATCTTGTATAAACATACCATGACTCTAAAATAAAAGTTATTCATTTGTGACATTGACTTCTGTCTTGTGATTTATCAAAAAAAAGTTTTTAACCTGTCAAGTTTTTTTTTTTAGATTTTTAACATTACAATTTATATTTTTCCAAGCACACAACAGTTTAAAGCAAAGTTTAGTTTGAAAAGAATGTGCAGGAAGGATTTAAAAGCATGTTATCACGGTAATGTAGGCTTGAGTTCATTATCTGACGCATGCATATACACACCAGGAACCTGTAAACTTAAAAAATACTGAATTACAAAAAACGTTTAAAAAACAAACATTTTTCATTGATATATATACAAAAATGAAGATTAGGAACTATATTTATCAAACATTATACTGGGCAAGTAAAAATGATTTCTGGGCAAATGAAATGTGAAAGTCACTTGCCCAAAGGGCAAGTGGTAAAAATCCTTAACGTCAACCCCTGGATTGTAATTACATTTAACGCTACGATCGTTTAGAATATATTTGACCTTATTACCATATAGTCCTTGGCAGATTGAACCATATAAGGTATGATAGATTATAACCTCTGATCAAACTAAAATATCTATAAGCAATGTCTTTATAGCCCTGACTTATTTTTTGGTTAAGGTGACTTCCATCTGTATAAAACAGGTAATGTTAAATCAGATGATCATTTACAGGTGTATGTGTTCTCACTGCATTCTGAGGACTGCAGGGGTCAAGGCCAAGAAGCTTTTCCTCAGAAGCCAGAATGGCTACAACCTCAAGCTCTCAGGTTGGTTTGCATCACTGTCGGTTTATTTCAAGCTTATCCCAGTATCATTTGTACATTTAATAATGCTCCAAACCTGTAATATTTTTTGCTCAGTTGGAGAATATACTCAGCGCAGTGTTAAAGAGTGGAGATGTCCGGCCCCTCCACGAGTTCTTGGAGATGAACGCATATAAAGGCGTCTCTATCAACTGTTCCAAACAGTTCCTGAATAAATTGGATAAACTTGTCAGCAGTGTAAGATTAGAGGCTAAACACACTTTTCAGCACTTCATTCTGTTTGTTTTTTCAAATACAGAGAAAAAAAACAACAACATTTTTTAACTCTTTAGAGCTTGGATAAAAAAGAAACCAGATCAGCCTGTTTGGGTTTTGAAAGCCTCCACAAATGTGGGAAAGATCTGAAGTTACCTGGTGGGCAAGGAGTCTCAGGTTTAATTTCTCAGGGGCTAATTCAGAAGATAAGTATAACAATACACATGCAACATATGCAATGATCCCTGTAAATATTTTTAAGTTTTGCCTTTATTTTTGGTGCACATGGTGCAGTGGTTTGAAAAATGCAGGAAACTATGGATCCAACAAGGTCCACATTGGGATAAAACCATGTATGTCCTCTGTGAGAACTTCCTAAATGTCTTAATGGTGAGTCATATTTGTTAGTTAGTGCGTATATTAGCTTTAGATGTTTTGTCCCTAAAGTTTCTCCTCATGGTTCTTCTTTTGCAGATGGTTCATGAGTCATGCAAAGAGGGTATGTCTCTTTAATTTATAGTTTTTGTTCCCTTCTTGAAATGTTATTTGGCTTCAGCTAAAAATATATTACTGACAAAGATAACAGTGATTTCTTCCATTTAAATGTATAGAAAAGTTTTCAAATTGTTCAGTAGATAATTGCCTTCCATTTCCATGCCTGTTTTTCTTCTATCTAGTCAGTTAACAGAATTGCTTGGATACATTGAACTTCTTTACAAACTGGATTTCCTAACTTTATTCCTCAGGAACATCTGAAGTCACTGACTCCTTCCTGTATCCGGTCGGCCAGTTAGCAGTAGACCCCAGAATATACATTCTGATCCAGAAAGAGGTTGGAAATAATTGGTGTTACTAATTCTTTGGGGAAGGAAAATGAGTCTGATATACTGAGGTCTTAGCTCATAGATACTATAATGTTGCTGTAACAGGCAATTCGTAAATACAACATCATTCTGGATAAAATGCCACTGGATTTTAAGAAGAACAGGAGACTCCTTTCATCCCAAGAGGCGTCTGATATCATGTATGTAACTGTAGTGTTTTTATTGTAATTCGTTACCAATTCTAAAGTTATGCTATGCTTGGTTCAACCTTGTATTTATTTTTCTGCAGGACCAAACTGGCAGGTCGGATTCTGGACAGTGGTGGTAAGTTTATATTTATACCATTAACTCAACTGCCATTTTTCTCCTTAATAAATTCAAATACTAATTTTCTCACAGATTATGACATGCAGTCATCCCTGATGGAGGCATTATTCAGAATGGTGACCCCTGATCAGAGGAGGAAGCTTGCAGACCGATGGTTCAGCATGGGGCATGTGGCCACTGCTTTTGCCCAGATCAGTGATTCAGAGTTTGAAACGGTAAAAGGCTTAGTAGTAATAATTATTTGCTTGAGTAACATGTCTAAGTTGCACTTTTAGATGAAACAAAAACCAAAACAGAAATGTGTTGTTTTAGGCTTGCAGAAGGTTTCTGAACATGGTGAATGGGATGCAAGGAGACAAAAGAAGGTACAAGTATGCAGAAAGTACACACTGCTGCACAGGCACTGATGAAATTGGAGGTTCCTTTGGGCTGTTTGCATGCTTAATACAAATACATTCAATTTTCTGTTACCGTTCATCTTTACCTTGCAGTGTTAACATGCAGCAGCTTACATGCTTGTTTGTATATTTGGCCAATTTCTAAACATTTAGGCTTTTTGTCATAATGTTTAACTCTTTTTTACTGAATACCTGTCCATTTTCTGCTTCAGAGTGTGCTCTTACCCTTGTTTGAAAGTTTATTTGGGCAAATATGAGGTCAGTATCACCAAGATTTATCTTACAATGTAACTTAAATATTTATTATTACTTTGGAACTTAAGTTAAACTGACTGTTATCAAAGGAAATGTTCTTGTGTGAATGATTATCTTGTTTGGAACACTATAAATAGTAATACATTTGTCCAAAAGTATATGTCATTAAAAAATGCTTGTCGTGTTAGCTGCTGATGCCATCTGATGAAAAACTTGAGGAATTCTGGATTGACTTCAACCTCGGCAGCAGGAGCATCTCCTTTTATTTTTCTTTACCTGATGAAGAGGTACAGGCAGACCAGTGTTACACTGTGTTCATCAAAGACATCATTTCTTACTTCTAATGAAAGGTTAAGATCAATTAGAGCCACATTTTTCTTCTTTCTAGGATGCTCACTGGGAAACAGTGTGCATTGATGAGCATGAAGTCCAAAGCTACACAGTCACAGGTTGCCAGTGCACCAAATTAACTTGTTTTCTCTGTCTTTAAGTGTTTTTACTACAACCCAGTAAAATGAGAATATAAATCACAAATTGTTCTTTATCTGCAGAGGTGGGCAAGAGGCAAATCTTGCAGATAAAGCTGTCAGAGGTGATTGTTATTGACTCAGTGGAAGGATCCATTCTCTGCATCCAATTTAGCTCCTCATTGGACATACTGCAAGCTGCTCAAAATGTTTTTGGGAATGACAAAAACAAAGTAAGTGAGCGATTTTTGTACAGTTTTGAGTACAATGTAATCAATAAAATAAAAGCCTTTCTTTTGATGTGGATTTTTACTTAAATGGAGTTTAGTGAAAAGAGATTGTTTTGGTCACAATGAATTGTTAATTAATTAGTGTCTTATTCTGGCAGAGCATCCATGAAGTGAAAGCTGCAGTTAAAGCCACAGAGGCAGATAACATTGCCCAGGTAAGCACAAGCTTGACCTCATGCATTATTTACATTCACGATATGTTCAAAGAGGCTTAAACATGCGGGTTGATCCTTTTTAGATAAGTTTATGTGACTATGATCAAATTTCCCAGAATTTCTTCTACCATGTTAGAGCTGGAAATGCATATGTTGACGTTAGAGGGTGTCTGCTGCATAGCAATCTTCACAGGTGGTTCCAGAGAGCCAGGTGTCTCTTGGTGAAACTGAGAAAACCCCTGCACCCTACGACCTGCCCACCGCAACTGCACAGGCAACACTTTAGTATTTTATCTAAAAATCAAAAAAGCTGTGGTCAGTTGTTTTACTTTTTAGTATAATTTTAACTAATCAGATAGTCCTTTGCCTTCCAGATGGTGACCCCTGCTAAAAAGAGGATGTCAGAGTCCACAACCTATATAAGCAGCAATGAGAGAGGAAGTGTGAAGACTAGCAGTTTTCTTCCAGATAAATCATCAAGTGAGTAACACCTAATCATAAAACTGATTAGTAACACCTAATCAGTGTAAATATATTGTTTCATAATTTTAAGTGTAATTTTGGGTTGTGTAGCAAATTAGTAAATGCAAGCTTTAACGTTTAAATGTTGTTTTTTTAATTCATTTTGTTACCGTATTTTCACGACCATAAGGCGCACCGTACTAAAAGGCGCAGTCTCAGTTATGTGTGCCATTACTGTATTTAACACAGACATAAGGAGCACCGGATTATAGAGCGCGGGTTTTATATACAGGTACATGTCCTCTACTACGTTTAAATACCTCTACTGCGTATTTAAAAATAGAGCGGGGGCAAAACTGAGTATGTTTGTGCTTTATTCATGTATTTATTACAAAGTATTAATCAAACCTGGGAGCTGGCCATGAGACAGACACGTCGCTGATGACACAGAGCGCTGTGATCACTCCTCTGAAACAGTTTATTGACACATAAATTAACTTAAAATGCAGAAATCTGCTGGCAGAAAATGTTTTATTATCCTGGTGCCTGCAGTTTAGATTATTTAGATGAAAAACACCTACCAGTTGCTGCGGTGAACCACGAGGAGGCGACCCGGCCAGAGGCTGCTGTTGCATGGGATCCTACTGACAGCGCACCGCTGTATGTGGGGGTCTTAGCGGCTCCAACAGAAATAATTTTGGAAGGCAGGATGGTAATCTGGATGAACTGACTGCAGTGATTAAGTTTTCAGGTGGACTTTCACACTTAAAAACATATTAAAACTAATTTATTCCCACTGATCACAGTAAATATAGCTGCAAGGCAAAGAAAGGATAAAGTAGCTCCGCCCAACGCGCCTCAGACACACTTTTGCACCGCGCAGCTGGAGCTGCAAAGCTGCTTCAGCCGCGTGTCAGAGCTAACTGGTACAAGCAGCAAAAATGAAGCAGCAGACGCGATTTTGCTGCTCTTGCTGTGTCCAGTGTTCACACCGATGTCGAGCGGTTGAAGTTCCTTTGTCAGACCTCCCGGAATAACAGCAAGCACAGCGGTCATTTTTTTCACCATGTTTTTCACATCGGCTGTGAGATGGGTCACAGATTAACAGTGATGGTGATGACTGGAAAAAACCACCTGGTCTCCTTACATACACCTCTTTCAGCCACTCTTTCATCATCTCTTCAATGAGGAAATGATGAAAGAGTGTTCTTTTATACACAATCCACGCCCACACTTCCCCCTTTACCGTTCTCATGGTGGTCTCAAACGTCCGCAGTAACAACACACATAGGTCGCACCACACTATAGGGCGCGCCGCACATTTTGAGGGGAAAAAATAGACGTTTATATGCGCCTTATTGTCGCGAAAATACGGTACTTAAATTCCTATAGTTGCCATATTGCTTTTGCGGCACACTTCATTTTCCCATGCTGATCTCTTTTTCCAGCAGCATTGCCTATCTATCAAGATCTCTTGTCATGACAGAACTGTAGGTCAAGTAGGGATGGAACGGTTTATGAAAACCATCCGAACCGTTCGGTTCGACTGTCTCGGTTCGATTTGCATGTGTTGCGTTCGGTTCATGCGCTGCTCCTTTTTCTCACAGGAGAAGCGATTACACTCCAGAGCAGAAGGTGGCGGTACTGCGACCAAAGCCAACCAGTTGGGTGTAGCAGAAAAAAATCAGTTGTTGTGGAGAATTGTGTGGGTATGGCGAGTGGGAAAGAACAGGAGTTAGAAGACGCGCCA